TCCGCATTGTGGTGAGTGGCTTGTAGAGGTAGAACATGAAGGCCAACCGACTCGATTATTTGAAGGAACTTATAGGAACGGGATGAGTGCGGAGCCAGGAGATTTGTATTAAAATCACCCATGATGATGTGATGTGAGTATTCTGACCCTAAAGATTCCAGAGTCGTTTCGAGACTGGAGAAGTAATCAACAGAGGGGGGACAATATACAACACCAAGAACGGTTTTAGCTCCCTTCACACATACTTCAAGAAAAAGAAATTCAGCAGATGCGGAGTAAAAGGGCGAGGAGGAAGCTAGAAGTTTATAAGATAAGTCACTGCGGAGGTATATAGCAACACCACCCCCTCTCTTATCAACCCGATCGTTACGTATCAAAGTGAAACCAGAGAGGGGGTAAGTGGTTGAAAGAAGATGGGGCTTCAACAAGCTCTCCGAAATCAGGATGGATCAGGATGAACATTCACGTTAGTAAAGGCTTCAATGAGATCACTGTAGTGGCTGGGTACACTTTGTGCATTGATATGACACACATTTAGCAAAGAGCTAGACTGGTCAAATGTATGACGTAGAAAATCACCCAGCGTATCAGTTATGGGACAAAAACTATCGTCAATAGATGTAGCAGTTTCGTTGGCAGAAAAAAAGAATCATCATCAGCGTTCATAAAAATAAATATAGATTTTTATATATATATATATATATATATATATATATATATATATATATATATATATATATATATATATAGTATATATATAATAGTATATGATATAAAATATATAAAATTAATTAAATTATTATTAAAACGTACCTAACTTAGGTTGTAAACCAAGGCGTACCGTCATCTTTGCACCACCCGCCAGCTAACATACGCACCTTAAATTACTAACTTATCAAATAATAAGCAAAATGAATTAAAAAGATAATGTAAAACACGAATCATATGTACGTTAAACACGTAAGTATCGAATCGGGTATTACAACGGATAGAAATCAAAAAAAAAACATAGACAAAATGATTTCATAGAGTTGATCGGTACACAACGTGTATAGACTATAAACTATAACACTACGTGACAGGTTACCGTAATTCGAAATATTACCCTTAAGTTGTCAAACGTCAAATTGGCATTACACTAGAATAGAAATGACAACTGACAATTAAAAATATAACATACAAAAGCATGTTTACATTGTAGTTCGAGAGAATAAAAAGCGAATATTATCTTAATAATTATAAATACGATATCAATGTTACAAGAACAAGAAAGGAGGATATAATTAGTTTAGAAAAAAAATACAACGCTTAGTACTACTTAGAAACCATTTTGGAGTTACGTACCTATACTAGAAATAAAGCAAAATAAAATTGTATACATTTCACATAAAAAAATTTAAAAAAAAATTGAGAAATTTGTATTAAGGTAATGAAAAGTTAACACACGAAACTACAAACTTCAATTGTCGTACTTAAGAAGTTTTGAAAGAGGGTTCGTTGATCCCACAACTGCGGTCTTGCCCTCAACCAAGGATTCAGCTGCTGATTTGGGGTATTTCTGCTTTAAGGAGTTCAGCTCGTCTAGAGAAGTGATCTTATGCCGGGATCTATCAGCAGCTTTCACCACAATTACACCGTCCTGAGTCCAGCAATCACGCATACCAAAATGCTGCCGGGCTTTAGCATTAACAGCTTGACGGGTCTTTGTCAAGAATTCTTTAACTGCAATCGATGAACCTTTAAGCTTGGACTTTGACCTCCACACCGATGTTCTCGAGTCAATGTCAACAAACCGTACCAAGATTGGTCGTTGATGGTTTTTACTGGCTGCTCCAATCCTGTGACAAACTCTGATGCTAGAGGCTGTAATGTCTGTTAACTGCATCTTGCGAAAAATGCTCACCACAGTGGCTTTACAATCTTCCTTCTCTTCTTCAGTAACACCGAGAAAAATGAGAGCCTTACGACGATGCCTGGTTTCGATAACATCTACCATACGAGAGCACTCAATAATCTGCTTGCGAAGCATCCCAAGCATTGAGTACATGAGCTCACGGAAAGTCCGGAATTCTTCAGCCACCTTTGCAACAGTGTCTTTAGCGGGTCCCCCAGTATGCAGCTGTGCTTCCAACTCAGCCATCCTTTTGGAAAAGCATTCCTCTAGAGTATTTTGAGCAGTTCTTATTTCTTCTAGTTGAGACATTCTGTTGTAAAAATTATTCAAAGTGTGATGTGCTGGCAGGTGGTGAATTTTAAATCAGTTTACATGCATAAACATGTAAGTACTAACTACTTGCCATTAAGTTGACTGTAGTATTTTGTTCTTCATTTGTTACTTGAGTTTTTCATAAAAGGATAAAAATCTGTGTTGACATTATTTAAAAATATGTTGTAAAATTATATTGTTGAGCATTGTAAACGCTGGTTAACATGCTCACTATCAAACAGTCGTGAATTCTTAGTTACTCTATTTCACTACTTCTTCACAATTAAGTTCAACAACTCAAATTTAGAGGTGCTTTGCTGGTAAACTTTCCGTTACCCACCATTTTCTTCAAACTTTGTTCCAACTAATTTAAACTTTTTATATTACCAAAACGAAAACTTAACTTTGTGAAAACACCTTTAAAAATTCATCAATTGCCCTCTCCAGGATTACTATAGCCAAGAAAGCAATCAATTTCCTTTTAAATGGCAAATAGTCAATCTTTTAATGAACAGATTATCTGGGGGCACGGCAGTGCCCCCGCCAAGTCGAGCAAAAAAGCGGCACGGCCGTACCATCTTTTCCCGAAGCAATTCAGGTCATTTTCGACCCCTATAACTTCGTTCTCAATTAAAATAGAAGCCTGAATTTTCAGTAACCGAGTAAGCATTGTATAATCATGGTATATTTCAAATTTCATTCAATTTGAACTAGTAGTTTAAGAATTGTATCTAGTCAAAGTTTCTTAATTTTGTCACTCACTGACTGACCGATCATCAAAACTCTAAGGCACTTCTAGCAGACATAGAAGATTCAAATTTAGAAATTAGTGTTTAGTGTATAAATCAAGGAAAAACTTAAATATTTGTTAATTATAAGTCCAGTTTTCTAGATACACTAACTGCATAAATAACTTTGTAATCCCATGTAAATATATAGAATTACAAAGTTACGTTTGCAGTGAATGAATCAGTGTACTTGTATAATATGTATTACAGGTGTAGGTACATAGGTACGCTGTTGGTACTCAAGAATTAGAAGGTACCGGAAAGGTAAAAAAGTAGGACTATCTTATATACAAAAAGAAATGAGATGCCATTAAAAACATAACTTGTAAAAAAAAACAAGTCTCGCAACTCAGTTCTTCTACCGTAAAAAAGTTGTGAGATCCATGTAATACCAAGTCGGTTAATTTATTCAGTCCCTACTTAAGGGTCCTTCTGTTTTAAGTTATTACGTAATTAGCTAACCTAACAACATTTTATAATGACCATATCAATTTTAAAAGTCTTTTATATTTTAAATATATAGATTGACTTGGCAATCGCACTAAGCAATCTAATTTAATTTAATGTGTATTATTTGTTAGATACATTGTGGTTTCATGCGATGGCCAAGTCAATCTTTATATTTAAAACATAAAAGACTTTTAAAATTGATATGGTCATTATAAAATGTTGTTAGGTTAGCTAATTACGTAATAACTTAAAACAGAAGGACCCTTAAGTAGGGACTGAATAAATTAACCGACTTGGTATTACATGGATCTCACAACTTTTTACGGTAGAAGAACTGAGTTGCGAGACTTGTTTTTTTTTACAAGTTATGTTTTTAATGGCATATTATTTACATCAAAATATAATACACACAACATAATTTACGTTCTGAAGACGGTGCTACGTTTTAGTGCAAAGTAGAATTAAAACCCCATCTTTGGTATGAGAAACAATTTTTTTAGTCGGTATTTAGTTTATATAAAAAGTTGTTTCCTTTTACCTTTTTGAGTGGGCTAAGGAATCCTTAGGTGTGGAATTTGCCCCACAAAGTTATATTAGAAGAATATCCCTAAACCCATTTAATAAAAAATTAATCTTAAAAACAAATTCACAATTTAATGAGATATCGCGTAACATACATTCATACAATAAAAACACACAATGTGGAATTTCTAGCGTACTCCTTTCTGAAGTTTAAGAAAAAGGAGGAGATCTCCAATTTGTATTTTTTTTTGTGTTACTGTAACTCTTTCTCTCACATTTTTATGTCTATTATCTCAGAAGTCATTTCTAGGTGAATCGATTTTGATAATTCATTTTTTAATTGAAATCAGGTGCTTCTCATGTAGTCCCACATAAATTTGATCAAGATCTGACCACTAGTTTTTGAGTTATCTTAATAATGCGTATTTAATTGATTTCGACTACATTGGTTATGTTCTCAATTGATTTATATTGTAATTGTTTGTACAAAATTTAAATTTTTTCCCCTTAGAGCAGAATGGCGCAGATAGCACTGGCACTTTCTACCCGTAAACAGATGTTAATGCTCTGTTTGATGAAATAGTAAGAGGGTCAATATAATTTAAATTATGGGTATTTCTTATAAACGTTAATGTAAAAGCTTGAAATCAAAACCTAAGATTTACCAAACTTTAATGGCAAAAGTCCAAATTTCTATTGTGGTTATCCTTAATTTCGGACCGTTGACTTAGTAAATCTTAGGTTTTAGCTCAAAGACACGTCAAATGTCGAAAATAATTAAGTCTTGAAGTGCTTGGTGCAGTTTAGTACTCACGGACCATGTGCAGTGTCAACTCTCTTTGCTCGACACAGTCATTCGTTACGTACGTACGTTTATGTTATCCAGAAGTATTTATAAGGCAAAATGAGTTTGATACAAAAATTTTACAGAATACTGGACTAGCTCGTGACAAGTAAGAAAGACAATAACTTTAATCTCGATAGGAATTAATGTGTGGGGCAAGCAAAGGCTAAAAGACTTAAAATTCATTCAGGCGATAAAAATAATAATAAATCTATCTCTCATGATATGCTCGATGAAGCAATGTTCGGTTTTCCAATGAAAATGGACGTCGCAACTTCAGCGATCGTTAGAGATACGATTGGAGTTATAAGATCTAAAGATTTGGATAATTAGTTGAATTCGTAGATAAATGTGGAATAATACATTACCACCGAAAGTATAATTGAACATGATAAAGAAGATGTTAATGTTAGCGAAGAGACAAATGACGCTGTCAAGAATAAAATACAAGAAGAGATTATTGCGGAGATGTTGAAGGGTAAAAAAAAAATCGATGTTTCTAATGAGACAATTGATGATAATATCACCAAAAATGCGATATCGATTAGGAGAGAGAAATCACGAGACAATTGCGGGAAGTACTTACAACTATATAGTCAAAACTAAAAAGGACTGAATTTGTACTGACTATAATCTGATAAGAAAAATTAATGATAAGCTTAAGCGTAGGTATTATGTTTGTGAGAAGAAAACAAATATTTGTTTATTTTATTGTATTCTACATTGAAAACTCATGAAAATAAAATTAAAATTTAGTAAGTAACAAGTTTCGAAATTTTATAAATACGTTTTACTTAAATTATATATTTTTATTTCCAAAACCAACATTTACTAATAGTTATTGGTAAACCCTAGCATGTAAAAAACTCTAATGGTAAAATCCCGAATAATCGTCTCATTTTATACTAAACCTTAGATTTACCAGCCCAAGTTGGTAAATCCAAAGATTCAAAAGTACATCCTATGATTTGCCCAAAAACGGACTTTTAAAGCTATGTTACTTTTGATTGAACCGTTATAATGTATGGCATTTTTATAAAAAGGCCTGCAATTGCCCTACTTGAAATTATCTTTACTATTACTATTATTAAATTGTAATATTATATTGTATTAAAGCTACAATAAAATATTTAAATCTACAAAAGCTAGAAGGATTTCTTACGCCAATATCACCAAATTTTATAGGTAAATTAGCTTGATTCCAGGCTGTTGTATTTAATCCTCAATTTAGAATTTTTTCTAAAGCTTTTTTAAGATTATTATCAATAATAACTTTGTGTAGTGAATATTAATTGTTAAATTATAATAAAAAATATTGTAAGTGAAAATATCTATTCATATTAAACATGATAAAGACGATATTAATTTTGGCGAAGTGTCAAATAACGCTGTCAAGAATAAAGTACAAGATGAGATTATTACGGAGAAGTTGAAGGGTAAGAGAAAATCCAATGTTTCTTATGTGACGACTGATGGTAATGTCACTAAAAATGTGTTATCGATTGAGAGAAAGAAATCACGAGACAATTGTAGGAAATTCTTTCAACTATATAGTCAAAACCAAAAAGGATTAAATTTGTACTGAATAATTTGATAAGAAAAATTAATGATTAGTAAGCTTAAATTAATGAATTTTGGCTAAATAGTTTGTAAGAAGAAAACAAATATTTGTTTAATTTACTGTATTCTACTTTAAAAACTCCTTACAATTTTTTTTTAAATTTAGTAGGTAATTATTTATTTGTAGTATAATAGAGGCATTTTAATCTATTTTTGAACGGGTCTTCGCCTATGGCCCTATTAAACATGTTTTGTAGTTTTTGTATAGTAACACAAAATTCTTAGTTACTTGGTTTGTATCTAAGCCACTTTTCTTCGGACAGACTAGCTTTCACCTAAGGCTTTATTCATGTATTTATAAGTTCACACATGTAATGACTAAATGTTTGATATACATTTTGTCACAAGAGAGATACTGATAATGAACACAAGACAACTTCGAGATGCTATTACAGATTTACAGGCTTACCAATTAGCACTGGAGCAGGCATTAGCTACATGCAAACACATAATAGAATTAGGTTAAACATAACCTTTAACTGAACTTGCGATTTAGCTAAAAAAGACTAAGGCTTTGACACTTCTTTCGATTACATTGAACTGTTTCTTGTTTGATTTAGTACCAACTTGATAACATGCCAAAAACATGAAAATTGTTTATATTAATTAACAAATTATAATTTGTTCATTAATATAACAATTTTCATAATTACATATTTATTTATATATTTATAGTGAAAGACCACAAATTCTAATATGACTGAATACCCGGTTAGGAAACAGAGGCATTTCCGAGACAAAGAGGAAATTTTATGCTTTGCAGCAAAGTACTGTTTATTCTACGTAGTATGTGACGTTTGTGAAAGCAAAAGCAAAACTATGGTGTTTATATCAAATTAACATTTTAAAAAATTACAACATTTTTTGAATTACAAAAATTAGTAAAGCAGGCTTCACTTATTTGTATTATTGCCAAAAGTGATTGTGGCTTATTTAGTGAGAGGAAATATGTAATATATTTTAATTAATTTGAATTGTATAATTTATAATTTTAGAAATTTGAAAAAAATTATAAAACGAATAATGAGTATTTTGTTGCTTAACTGTGTATTTTATGTTATATGCCGTTTGACCATTAAAATTTTTCTCGGAAATTTTAATATAAAAAGAGTGTAAGAGTAATAAGAGGAAATAAATAAAATTGTGTAAAAAGGGAAACACGATAGTGAAAAATAAAAACAAGCTAATAGCGAGGGGCGCAGCCTAACTGTAGTAGTTCACGCTCAAATTTTTATTCGATCCGCATTTTGGAAAGTGCGGCAAAATTCAGCCAACATTACGAAATTATTGATGTAAGGAAATACAAAAGGGAAAATAATCTTTCGCATTTTGCGGAAAATGTGAATGTTTTTGAAATTTACCTTTTAGTAGTAGAAATAATATAGTCTAAAATCATGCTTCAAAGCGTGTATAGCACATACGACAGGCGTCAAGATCGGGACCGCTTAGGCGAGACCCAAAATTTAATCGGCCACCTTAGATTAAAGTAATGAATGGTATCCTCACTATATTCACGCACGCACGCACATCTCTAGACACACTGCGTCAACCGAACCAAGCGTATCACACGTTTTCGTCCGTTAATATACATGTCACAAGACACGCTTCCTTTGGGTTTCTTAACTTACTAATCAATTTCCTTTGTCTCAATAGTTTCGTTGGAGTGCGTTTCTATCAAATATAACATCAGGATCAAGGTCGAAAATACATCGCCTGAAAAACGTATAAATTAAAACATTAAAAATGTAGTGAAAAGTAAACAGTTACACCCAATACACGTTCCATCGCTGGGCACAGCTCTCTTCTCATTTCTGAGAGGTTTTTTAGGGTTCGTAAGAAAGTATCCGCTGCACTGCCCCAATGCGTGTTGGCGAACTTCACATGTCCTCGAAATATAGATTTTTCTTATTTCTTAGACGTGCAGGTTTCCTCACGATCTTTTCCTTCACCACAAAGCACGTGGTAAATCAGCACTAAAAATTGCAAATAACAATTTCATTAGTGCCAGCGGGGGCTATCAAATTTACAGCGAGTGCTTAGCACCTGAGCTACCACGGATTGATATAAGTACCTCTAACAAAAGCAAAAGGATTAGAAAAACAAAGTTTCCAATTCGAGTTATTTTTCAGTTTTTGTGTCATACTTTCCCAAGATGTAATAGGTTTTTACATATGAAATTGGCGTTTTGTACGGGAGGAATATAATCAATGTAAGCACCGTTGTTATCCATGCACTTTTGCCATCTCATAGGTAGTTCATTGATCCCTTTACTAAAAAAAACATGTAGGCCAAAATCAATAAACTCTTTGAAGGTGGTTTGTACTGCCTCATCGGAGTTAAATTTTTTTCCTTGTAAGAAGTTGTCCAAATTCCGGAAAAAATGGTAATTTGTTGGAGCAAGGTCCGGGACTGGCGGTGGATGTCGCAGACATTCCAATAGTACCTCATCTAACATCTAATTAATGGTTGTTTGTTGTACAGTGTGTGGTCTTGCGTTGTCGTGAAGCAGCAGTAGCCTAGAGCGATTGACCAAACTCGGTTGTTTAGCAGCTAGTTCTTCCTTAATGGTTTACAGTTGCTGACAATAGATATCTGGCGTAATCGTTTGGCCTGATTTTAGAAAGCTGTAGTGAACGACACCGGCGCTAGTCCACCAAACACTCACAAGTAAATTTTTCTGAGTCAATGTTCATTTAGGGCAGGATTTCGCTGGGTCTCCAGGGTTCAGCCATTGCGACAAGCGCTTTCGATTATCATACAGTATCCACATTTTATCACAAGTAAATGATTCGATTTAAAATCCCTTCATTTTTGTGTCAGTTGACAAGTAACACAGCAGTCCACGCAGGTTTGCAAGTTCGATTCACTCAATTCATGAGGTATCCATCGTTCAAGTTTTTTTTTTACTTTATTACTTGATTTGGAATTCTTAACCAAAGAGGAGATATTTCAAATCAAAGTGGTCAGTACGACAAAATGCTTATTTCCTATGTAAGGATCCAATATAACAAAACCTGTTTATGATTTTTTTTCGTATTTGTGAATAAAGGTTATCACACATTTTATGCACCTGACTAGCACCACTTTACTGATCGGCATCCACATTCAAATAGTGGTCAGCCAAGGAAAGGCATTGTGTCCTCGCGGTACCGACACTACCGACACGAAAAACAACTGCCGTTGCCAATCCGCTAGCTAAGTGTGGCAACTATGGCAAAATCCTTCTTAAGAGGAAATCTTTGCTACACTTAGCAGACGACCATTAAAGGCTACTTTTATATTTATGTATGGATGGATGCTAACGACCGATAAGTGACTTGACGCCACGTGATCGGAACATGAGGGCTGCGTGGCAAGTAACAACCAGAATAGTTGCTACCAATGCTTAAGTCACAAAAATAAATCGTGTACCTGCTATAAGTGGACGTCGTTTTGATTGGTCCTCAAATATTTATGTTTTTTCGGTTAAAAGTTATAAGCGAATTAAGTGTTGCACATTAAACAATTTTCGCGAATTTAAGTGTTATTTGTCTATCACTGTTAGCTAAAACAAATCAAAATGGACATTGGGCAAATGAATCCGAGGGTGATTTAAAAACAAAAATATTTGTTCACTTAACATCGACTATCGTTCGTGATAATGGCCAAACGCGTGTGTGGGCGTTGAATTTAGCGCGTACCAGTCACACTACGTCGAGATAACGCACCTTGTG